CTATGTGGCAGGAGCTTTAGGTTGCTTTTCTAGTACAAGGAAAGATTTTCTTTACTCCAAGCACATTCTTCAGTCAAGGAGTTCATCTGCTATTTTATTGAGTACTTATTATATGTGAAGCATTATCAGGCAATGTGTAGGTAGAGGGAGAAGTTGGAGAAGGGGAGACCAAAATGACTAATACTTAGTTCAAAGACTTAGATCCAAGTATCTTATAAGTTCAGTGGGAGCAAAATACCGTACTTCCTCATATATAAGATGCACCCTTTTTCAAAAAATTTGGGGTCTAAAAACTGGGTGTGTCTTATATAGTGGTTGTAGATTTTTTTTACTTGCATTTCCCGCTTTTTTCGCGCTTGTTTGTGCACTCATACAACTATATACGGTATATACGGTATAGTGCAAACAGTAGCATCTATATTAAGAATTTTTGTTCCTGTAAAAGTTCAATTCTTTTGAAGCCAATAGGGAAAATAGCCTTGTTATGTTTTAAGTGGGTAGATGGTATTTTATGTGGTGTATTTAGAGACTCAACAGTTCCTTAGCATCTCAGTGATTCAGAGTCTTGCACTAACCACCAAAGTGGAGAAAGAAAAGATCTTTGCTTTGACTTGGTGGTATGTGGATGTCTTTAAGAGTACTGGGTTCAATCCCGGATCTGCAATTGAATAGCTGATGTGACTTTGGATGAGTTATTTAACTTCTCTATACCTTGGTTTTCTCTTTCATAAAAAGGGGATAATAGCAACATCTCATTGAGCTGAGATGTGAGTTAAATACACAAATACATGAAAAAGCATTAACTTAGTGCCTGGCACATGGTAGGTGATCAATATGAGTTATTACTATTATTACAGTCTCCCTAGGGAGATAGAACCCACAGGGAAAGGGTCTGAATACATAGACAAGAACATACAAATGGTAACATGCCAATGAATATCATGAGTTGTATGCTTTGGAGCAATAAAATAAATAACCTCCAAGCAAATCCAAAATATGTTTTCATTATTCCCAAACCCTATTGCATAGCCTAAGGTGGGTGTCCAGATTATTCCAGGCTAACCTCATGAATTTCTTGGAATTCAGCACTTAAAATCCAAAGGTAAACAATAGATTGAGCAAGGTCCTAGAGAGAGGTCCTAGGGGGAAAAGGCAGTTTTTGTGGTGTAAGTATAAAGCAGCTTGCTTGCTTTATACTTAGTGATTATAAATGACCCTTGACAGCTTTTAGTGGGAATGGCTCTCTTGCAAAATTCCAAGGGAAATGTTTTCTGGACAGTCTTACTTGCCTGTGGAGGAGGTCACCACCTATACTAAGTTTGGAGGACCTTTCCCCAGATGTCTGATGTTAAAACTTGACTAGGTTATTTAGTTTAGTAATCTTTTTGCTTCCCCAGTTGAAAGGCAAATATCCCTGGTGGAAGAGAGGGGAATCAAGGTCCAAAACTATGCTGGCCAATCCCTACTCTCATCCTGTCTGTGTAGTGTGGCTACTATTTACCATGAGCAACCTAACCCTTGAATCTAAACTGTCTTGTATGGGTCTCTGTCTCCTGTGACTGTATCTAGTCTTGTTTGTAATTCCTCTAGGGCAGGAATTATGTCAAAAGGTTTTATAGAATATTGGTTCAACTTGACCCTTTTTACCCCCTACCTTAAATGTGTATAGCACAATTTGACATCAAAAGTAGGTGAATAGTAAATAGTAAATTACTGTGGTTCATTATGATGACCTGGTTTACCTTCCCATAATCCCGGACTGTAATATGTTCTCTATTATGCTTTCAAAACTAGAAATTGTGAAGCAGACTGTGATTATGGCAGACACTTCCAGACCTTCTGAAACCACTGCAAACGGAAACATAAGACTGCAAATTAAGAAGGAAAAAAAAATTATCTCAGAAAATGATCCTTACCTACCAAGGATCTTAGATATAGAAGAATAGGCTTACTAAATTTAGAAAGTCTTATTTTCGAGAAGTGTAAACAGAAATAGTCTAGTTGGGAGGGGGTGGGGATGAAGGAGAAGGGGAAGGGATGAGACAATACAAATTGGTAACTACAATATGGCCTCAGGGATAGAAAAGACAGTCTGGGGAATATAATCAATAATGTTGTAAATATTTTTTAGGGGGCCAGATGGACTCATGTCTTGTTAGGCAGACCACTTCATAGTCAGTGTAGAGGCCTGACCACTGCACTGTATTTCTGAAGCTGATGTTGAATAATATTGTATGTCAACTATAATTATATATACATATAGTCATGGGACGTGGAGTAGAGTGTGGGAATGGAGTCAATGGAATTGTAACAGATAAGTATGATATTGGGGGTGGGAGGGCAGTGGATGGGGGGAGGGGGGTTGTTACTTTGTGAGGGGTGAAAAGGATAACTATTGCATTGTTCTGTGCACCTGAAACTAATAATAAAAAAAATTTTAAAAAGTCTTATTGTCCTACACATCACAAAAATTATCCAGTGAAATTCATGTTCACATTTGGTGAATCTGTATGTAGTAAGGCCCACTCGGGGTCATTTCAGTAACTTGCTTGGTTATTCAGTACTCGGAGTCCTTGGACATGAGTCATTAGCATAGAAAGCTGCTTTTTAGAATCTTCTAAAACAAATCCATGGGGTTTGATCTGCCAAATTCTTATCTAGACTAACAACAGCCTTATTTCCCTAATCTTACAATCTAATTTTTTTGGCTGTTTAGTGTGCTTGGTGAAAAACACATCACCAAAACACAAGTCATTTTTCATTTCTACTGAGAACTGATTTTGAGAAAATGTATTTAAGGCAAAAAAAGAAGAATTGTTGGGGAGGGCTTTATATTGGGTTGTCGGAAAAGTCATGACGCATGTTTGCAACAGATGGCGTTAGTTCATTTTTGGAAGTACTCTAGTCATTTGCATGTATGTTATTGCTATGTCATTTGACAGTTGACAGTTGTAGCTTCATTCTAAAAAAAAATTGAGCGATTTGGTTGAGTTTTGGAGATTTTACAACAAGTTGAAGATGGAAGACCAAACTGCATTTTTGCCATATTTTACTGTTTTACTTCCATAAAGGGAAGAACGCACATCAAGCTTGTGGAAAGTTGCATCAAGTTTACGGTGACAATGCTCTACAAGAACATCAGTGCCAATGATGGTTCACAAAATTCCATGCTGGTGATTTTGATCTCAATGACGCTCCTTGGCCAGGGAGGCCCACCGAAGTTGATGTCGACAAAATAAAGGCATTGATGGAGTCAAACCCAGGTTACACGACACAAGAGATTGCTGAAACATCAGACATTCATCATTCAAGCATTCACAACCACCTGAAGAAGCTGGGATATGTAAGCAAGCTCAATATTTGGGTTCCGCATGAACTCAAAGAAGTTCATCTGATGGCACTTATAAACATCTGCAATATGCTCATTAAACGCGAGGAAAATGATCCTTTTTTGAAGCGACTGATCACTGGTGATGAGAAGTGGATTGTTTACAATCCACTTGGTCCCGACGTGATGATTCGCCTCAAATGACATCAAAAGCAGACATTCATCAGATGAAGTTTATGCTCTCAGTGTGATGGGATTTTAAAGGTGTCATGTTTTTCAAGCTCCTACCAAGGAACCAAACAATCAATTCGAATGTGTACTGCCGGCAATTGGACAGTTTGAACGAATCCATCATCCAGAAACGTCCAGAGCTTGTTAATTGTAAAGGAGCCGTGTTCCATCACGACAATGCAAGACCACACACAAGTTTGATCACCCATCAAAATTACTGGAGCTTGGATGGGATGTGTTGCCACACCCACCATATTCGCCTGACCTTGCGAGGTCAGACTTCCACTTGTTTTGCTCTCTTCAAAACTCCTTGCATGGTATAATGTTCAATTCAGATGAGGCTGTAAATCAGCACCTTGTTCAGTTTTTTGCCAATAAAGACAGGTCCTTCTATGAACGAGGAATTATGAAGCTCACTGACTGATGGCAAAAGGTTATCAAACAAAATGGGCAATATTTCATGGGTTGATCTTTGTTTTTTATATAAATAAATGACCTTTGAAAAACATAGACAAACTACGGAATGACTTTTCTGACAACACAATAGCTTTTAAATTAGATTAGTGAAAAAAAAAGTGGGTCTTACGAGATGGAAGTGAGGTTAAGATACTTGAGAGTCATTGAAATAAAAAGCAGGAGCTACTTTCATGTTTTGTGGGAAGAGAAACAGAAATGCTGGATCTGGAGGAGGGTTCACCTAGGATAGTAGGTTATTAGCACTTCCCAAGAATCTGAAAACCAAATGGGGTAGGGTTTTTCCATTCTTGCCCAAGGTTCGGTAACTGGAACCTGTGTTTGCCTCAATTAATTCAGTATCTACCCCTAATTAGTATGGGGTGCCTTGTCAGGTAAGGGGTAAAATGGAGCAGGAGGCAGTGGAATCAGATTTAAAGACAGGATTTGCCCAAGTGTATTAGGAAGTCCCTGAAAGAACCAGGTTTCCAAATTGGTGTACTTGGCAGTGTAACAAGCTGCCCGAAAGGTCAAAGTAAGCTAGTGATTGATGACTGTATGGCTAAATTCTTCCAATAAGGTAGTGTACCTCATGGGCTGTGTGAGGGTTTACCAGAAGTCCTTATTCAGAAAATCAGGAAATGTGGATATTTTCCTAAGACTGAAATAAAACCCTTATCTTGAGGGTGAGGGAATAATGAAATACGCTAAAACACACACTAAAAGCACCCCTGTGGACGTAAAATAACGACATTTAAAAACTGACTTTAGAAAGAATAAAGCTTGACTGATTTTCATTTTTCTACCGCAAATTACAAATAATGTAATGAAAAGAAATATTCTTAATTGACTTTAAAAGAGAACAGATGAAGAGAGTAAAGCGGGTTAAGAGAATGAAGAGAAAGAAAAACAGGGAAGTGGGTCCGCATTTGCAGCACCTCTGGCGCCACCTCCACCCGGATCCGCGGAGAAAGAGCTCGGTCCCCACCTCACGGCTCCCACGGGATCGTCGCTCTGGCCTCGCGCCTCTGTCTAGCTAGGCTCTAACCAGCTCCGGGAGCTCCGCGGTTTCGCCGCCAGTCAGAGAGGAGAGAGGCGGGACTTCCGGTGTTTGAAAAACTTCCGGCGGGAACCGGAAGACACACTCGCAGACTCTCCGGCCCTCCGACATGCCGGGCGGGAAGGTGAGCTGAGCGTCTGCCTTGGCGGTCTTGGAGCCCGGCGTCCGGGCTCCGGTATTTTGGGGACCATTTAAAAAGCTCTGAGTGCTCATTTGTGAAGTAATATCCCGTTTTGAAGTGAGAAGTTTCGTTACATTTTACTGTCTGCGGTCTGTATCGTGCAACCTACACCCTAAAAACCCCTCCTAGCTTGCCGCGTTATCAGCTGGCGCGGCTTAGCCCAGTTGCAGTTCTGAGGGTACAGAGGCAGACAAAGGAAAGCCCGGGGAAACCTAGATTGTTTTTATACTTCAAATTTTCGGAGATGGGAGAGGCAGCACTTTTCGCTATCGGATCATGGCTGAATCAATTGCATTCTCAGCGGTGTGCCTGGCATATAGGAGGCACTAAATAACTGTTACGGAAAGGAATGAATGGGAACTCTAGGCAACTTTCCTCGACCCTCCCACAATGACAACCTATCATTAATATAATGTATGTGGAGTGGGAAACATGCCTAGTCTTGGTGTTTGGGGCTCTGGGTTCTAGTCCTTATTCTGCCACAAAGCTCTTGCCTTTGAGTAAACCATTTAACCTCGCTGCTATTTTCTGACTCAGAAAATAGCAAGACTGATTTCTGAGGCTCTTTCCAGCATGAAGTGGATGGAGTAGGGCATCTAGAGAGACTCCTTTGCCGCAGACGCCTTACTTACACCCAGCCCTTAACTCCCTTCATTCTTGGTTCCAAAGTATCTGTGATTTTTTTTTTCTCTTTTCTTTTTGAGGATACTGCAGAGAATGTTGGGTTGGTGTTTAAATGCTCTCACTGCTCACTTGATATTTTAATTTTTTATGTAGTGAAATCTGTTCATCTTTTTGGCTTTTGAGTCATGACTAGGAAAACCTTTATTCCCCCTACCTCCACTCAAAATTATGAAAGTAGTCTTCTCTGTTTTTTTTTGTAGTTTTATCTTGTACATTTTAAATAATTAGTCAATGTGGAATGTATTTTTGTTCATGGTGTGGCAGTAAGAATTTAACACTTGTTTTACTCCAGAGGGATAGTTGGTTGTTTTAATACCACTTATTAAATAATCCATTTCTGCCCTGGTTTGAAATGCCACCCCATCATACACTAACTTCCTCGGTTCTTGTTTTTTTGTAGTAAAATACGTATAGCACAGAAATCCTGAGTTACCCGATCCTTTACGATCAGTATCTAAAAGCACTCATTTGAGCAAGAATGACCTGCATAAACATAAAGTTCCAAAAAGTGGGTGAAGGAAAAAAATGGAAGGTTATCCTGTCTACTTCCTGGGGACTTTTCCTTTTGCTCGCTTGGTTTCTTTTGGGCGGTCTCCGGCCCAACAACTCTGCACTTGCTGAACTCAGTTGAGCTGTAGCAGCCAGAACATGTTCCCGTTAGTCACAGCCCTTTGGTGTTTCTATGAAGCTTCTTTTCCTCTTCCAAGTGGAAGTTAGAGCCAGAGGCATTATAACATGACTGGTTTAGGAACTTGTTTAAGGAGTTCTAAGTATGTCAGAGTCTAATGTAGTTTTTATGATTTGACATACATTGTTTAGATAATTTATCAGCTAAAGTAAATTTGTTTACTTCCTATATCACATGATGTCTCTTATTTGAGGTTTTTTAGAGCTGGGACTTTGAATTTGGTAAATATTATTTAGTGGCACTAGTGATTGTTTTATTTAAATATTGTGAACTTGTATTATAAAGGAATGGATTCTTGTTTTAGGAATAATATGGTTGCTTATATAGTCAATCAACATTTATGATTATCAACTTTGTAGATAGATTTCTTTATACTGTAAGAAGATATAGAAGAAGGAACATATTTTTTATACTCATATAGTTTAATATATTTTATAGATACAGTTTAATAAAGACTTTATAATTTGCTGTGTGATAAATCATCAAAAACACTTGCTGTATACCAAGCATATAATTCTAAAAAGCTATGAATTATCACCCAAAATATAGGAGCTTATGTTTTTTCAAAATGGTCCACACTCATCAGGCTTTTGAAACCATTGGAAGGATGTTAGCTGTTCTTATGATTGGCAGCCACATAGGAGGGGAAACCAGTGTTTGGGCTTAAGAATGATCCTCATTTTTTTCCCCTTATAGCATTTTCTAGCAGCAGAGCTATTAGAGGGTTAGTTTTGCGTAGCATATAATTTTGTAGACAACGTAAGTGCTCAGTTATTCACGTGATTCAGATCATGCTGATTTCATGTTCTGTTTCTTCCAGATGTCGTCATTGCCAAGAAGAGCAAAAGTAAAGGCCCAGACAGCAGTCTCCAATGATGAATTTTCTTCTTTCTCTGAGTTGTAAGCATATTGTTTTTTTGTTTTTGTTTTTATGAGGGTGGGAGGATAATGTCTATTTTAAGGAATTAAAAGCATTCTTCACTAACTTCTTGAGTCATTCAGGTTGAAGAAGGCTGTCTTTTTCAATCATTCATGCAAGACATGAATCACTGAATTCATGCTGTGTCCCAGGTTCTGTTTAGGTATTGGTGATAAACTGTTGAAAAAGGAGAGAAGAGAAACTAAGCAACTGAAAATATAATGTGATATTTACACTAGAATGTAAGCTGCATGAGAGCAGGGAATTTTTTATACTGCTTTAGAGCAAGGTTTCTCAATCTTGTCACCATCGACAGCATGATTCTTTGCTGTGTGGGGACTGTTCTTTGCATTGTAAGATGTATAGCAGCATCTGTGGTCTCTATCCACTAGATGTCAGTGGTCTCCCCCCAACCCCTTACCCTAGTTTTTACAAAAATGTCTGCAGACATTGCCAGATGTTCCCTGTGGGGACAAAATTGTCCCCGGTTGAGAACTTCTGTTTTAGAGCGCCATAGTAGGTATTTAGAGTGACCTGAAGATATTTGTTAAATAAATGACTGGTTAATGTTAGGCAGTATTAATACTGTAAAGAAACATAAAGCAGGGCAAGGGATAGAGAACATAGTGAATGATTGTAGTGTGGGGACATTTTGGATACAGTAGTCAGGAAAGTTCTTTTGGAGGATGTGGCAAGAGATGTAAATGAGATTTGGGAGTGCAGCTTGCAAAGATCTGAGGAATGAGTTTTCCAAGTTGAGGGCACAGCAAGTGCAAAGACCCTGAGGCAGGAATGAGCTTGCTGTATTCAGGGAACAGCAAGACCAGTGTGGTCAGACCAGAGTCACCAAGGCAGAGAAGGACTGAAAGTGAGATGGGAATGGGTGGGATCTAAGGCTATGACAACATGTTCGGGTTTATTTTAAGTGGGTTGGGAGGCCACAGGACGGTTTGGGCAGAGATGTGACATGATCTTGTTTACTATTGTAAAAGATCATTCTGGATTCTTGATTACATTCTGGATTACACTACAGGGGAGTAAGAATATAAATGGGGGATCAGTTAGGGAGATTATTATAGAAACCTAGTGTCCTAGAAGTGAAAGTGGTGAGACGTGGTCTAATTTGGGATGTATTTTGAAGGTAGAGTAGACAGGCTATATGATGGATTAGATTTGGGGTATGAAGGAAAGAGGAATTTGGGGAAGACTGGAGGAGGGGCAGGTGTGAGGGTGGTGAAATCAGGAGTTTCGTTTTGGACTTGGTAAGTTTGAGATGATTGCTAGACAGCCAATGAAAGTGGGCATACAAATCTTGAGCTCAGGTCAAGTTGGAGATATAAAATTGTGATTCCTCTCTGTTCAGCTGTAGGATAAGGTCATCTAATAAAAGAGCATAGAGAGCAGAGAAGAGGGCTGAGGACTAAGTGTTAGATCCCAACACTGAAAGGTTGGGGAGAGGAGGACGGGAAGGCAAAGGGTCTAAAGAGACTCTGCCAGGAAAGCGGGAGGAAAACCAGAGGAGTGGTGTTCGTGGAAGGTGTGAAAGACATGCTCTGAGGAGTGAGTACCAGATGCTGCTGAACGGTAACTATGGTGAGTAATGAGAGTTGACTGGCTGTCTTAGAACTGTGCATGTATATAAAATAATACCTGTACTAAGTATTTCTTCATTATAACTGAAAGCACTTTTGTGCCTGTCGTGTAATCTTTGTAATATTCCTGTGTGAAATAGGGTTAGTACTCCTGCTTGACCGATGATGAGACTGAGGTGGAAAGAAGTCATTCTGCTCAGTTTTGTGATAGCATGAGGAGTGGAACGCTGGGTGTTTTTTTTTTAAGATTTTTATTGGGGAATTGGGGGGTGGGAACAGCGCTGGGGAATTGGGGGAAGAGGAACAGACAAGTTGCTGTCCTTTTGTTAACTTCAGTCTAGTTGTGGAGGACATTGTTTCACCAGCCTAAGATGACACCATCATTGCGCTCTTCCCGGGCGAGGCAGATCAGTCACCGGCTTCTGGACGGCCATTCACGCTGGCTGGTGGCTACACATGGTAGCCCATGGCCAACCCACTGCAGCAGGGGCTGCATCTTACACCTTCGCCAGCGACTCACGGCAGCCCAGCTCCAGGTTGAGCCGTTGTTCAGCATCTTAGCTGTAGAGGGCAGTGTCACTGACCCTCATATGTGGGATCCGAACTGGGGCCCTCTAGTGTCCCAAGCCAGCTCTTAACCAACGCGCCACTCGGCCGGCCCAGAACGCTGGTTTTTTGATCCCTTGGTTTTCTAATTGTAATTCCTTTCAATTCTACTGCTATTGTGTTATGTTAGTTTAATGATTTTTTGGGGTTTGGGAGTTTTTTTAGCTTACTCTTAGGCTTTAGTTAGTTAGCATCCATCTCTCTTAGAGGCTATCAGTGGCTTGACCTATTGTAACTATGGTCTCCTTGAACTTAAGTTAGCTAAGCAGTCATCCAATCAAGGCTTTTGCCTCTAGGCAGAATTTAAACCATGAAGAAAGCCAGACATCTCTATTCAC